TGAACAAGTGTTAAGTATTTAATCATTACGACCGGGATCAAACTCAAAATTCTTTATCAAAAAGAAAGATCTTTCATTTCTGGGAAAATCTTGGTCAAGTTAAAAGTCGCCCCCCAGTGGCACAGCGGTATGTCTGCGGACTTACAACGCTAGAAACCGGGTATCGATACCCGTGGTGGGCAGAGCACAGATAGCCCTTTGTGTAGCTTTGTGCATAAATTCAAACAAACAAACAATCAAACAAAAGTTAGTCTCCGACGTCCGTGTTTGTTTACTGTTAAGCGCTAAGCTACACAGTGGGCTATCTCTGCTGTTCCCACCACAGGGATCAAAACTCGATTTGTAGTGTTGTAAGCACGCAGACTTACCGCTGCTGATGGGGGAGGGGGGCATACCAGAATGATGCTTCCGTCGATTTAAGGGGCAATGCCGTTCGTCTTGACGAAAATCTAAATCGTGTGTGATTTTTAAATTCATCAATGAAACTTTAACAATCTGCTCATTACCTCGATGGTAGAATCATATTAAACATACTTACGACGTACTTTATACATTGTTAAACAACTAGACAAATTATATTGTAATTTAAGGAAGATTTAATCACGATGAATACAGAACACCGGTAATATATTTTTCTTTTGTTTCACAAACCGTTTCTGGACAGGTGGCGCTGATATTCTCTAAATTTTGTTTTAAGTCTCTCTAAGATACCCCTCTCTCTCTCCAATATTTCATTGAACTAAATTAAATTTATTGTTGCTATTATAAATGAATAATATTCTGTTATTTATCCTTACATTAATTCTGATTTGTAGATGACCTGCATAAAATTAATGAAAGTTACATTTAACGGTTTATTCTAGTTCACCCCTCAACAGTTGTTATTTTCAAGCAATTGGATAATATAAATATAAATAACCTCTCAACCACTACCGTGTCGTTTTTGAGCCCTGGTATTAGACGAAAGGCCTCTTCGGCACTGGACATTATAGATGTAACGTGGATGACATGTTTGTTACACACGTTTTTGTTATCAGTTTTACGTTCTTGGTATTAAGTTCTGTTTGAAATGTCGTTTACCTATATAAAAAAAAAAAAAATCGCTACATGCAGTAAAACGGCCTGTGGCTGGCTGTCTGTCTGTAACGAACATTTTTACACTGGCGATCTCTCATCCACATGAAACTTTCGGGAGTTCTTGGGTATTTCCCACAAAAGGATTTGAAACTCCCCTTAAGTTATTAATTTCCTATTTGTAAAACTTTGACACATTTCGGTTTTGTTTTACTACTTTTTTTGTTTTATGAATCTTTAATTATGTTTTCGGGGGAAATAAGACAAAACAGTGAACAATTTTGAAGTGTAGAAACGTGTATTCCCCAAGAATATTCCGTTCGCACGGGAAGTGTAACCAATTATCGTACAGCTTTCAAAACTATAGAAATTAACTCCGCGTGCGTCTCGGGAATATTTGCTAATAACGTTAATAACGCGAAAGTACATTTTTAAATAGTGATATCCATCAGCTGGCATATACTGTCGCCAAGGGGCGCGTTGCCGTCGTCAAGAGAGCTGTGTCCGTCATTTAAATCAACAGGGATTTTATTTTTGTTTTAAATAAGCTACCAGTTTGTAGATAAGATGACAAAACTAAGACTATTCTTTTGATAAATGTGGGAAAAATTTTAAAAAAACTTCATTTTCAACATGAAAAACTAAAAGGATCAGAAAATTATATCATATTTAAGAGTAATTTGAAAATTACAGTAATTTTTTTTTCTTGCTCGACGTTTTTTTTTGTTTTTTTTTTTCCGCTACAGCCCTTAAGTTAATAAACCCACACCTAGCCGCCATTTTGTCCACACACGAAAGGATTTCGTTTATCTTCGAATAAAATGTTTTGGTTACCAGATTGTTTTTATCATCTGATATCAAAAATATCCTTGTAAGTTAGGGATAAGATGTTGTTTAATCACTACTTGGAATATTTTAAATTCAAGTAGTTACGAAAACACACACAAACATAGTGGGTTAATTAGAAGTATCACTACCTAAGTACGAGTACAAACGATCTTTGGGTTAATCCCAAAACGTACGTCAACTCTGATTTGTTAATTTTACACACACAAGATTTATAACGGTTGTAAAAACGAAGAATAAGGTGTGTTACTTATCCTAAATGGACATTCCTGACAAATTGGTGGGTAATAAAAAGTTCTTAAAGCTGACACGGTGGGGCGATAGGTGGGGTGGCATCCGGGAGTCTCGGAGGTCACACTGTCGTTACAGGTCAGGGCGAGGATTTAGATTAACTCTTAATTCACATTGACAGTTCTTTCAATAAGAAGATTCTAACTTAATAATGACAAAAATACAGGAAAGGTTTAAGTTAAAGTTATATAATTAGTTTGAAAAGAATTCTTGTATTCCTATTGAGTATTCATTTATTTCTGTCTCAGTGTTTGTGGGGCCTAATACACAGTTTATTTTTTGAGATTTATTTTATACCCCGATTATGATCACTTTTTTGTAATTGTCTCCTTCCGAGAAGCAAGTCTGGTTCTTAAAATCCCTCTAGCTCAGTGATTGTGAACGTGGGACGTGTCCCACAGGGGGGGGGGGGGCAATTTGAAAATCCTACTATAAGAAAAAAATTTCATTTAGGTTCGAAATGTTGGCAAATTTTTAAATATTATTATTATTATACTTTTTCAACACCAAATTTGTTTTTATATTAAGGGGACATACATTTTTTTTTTAGTTTTCGAGGTGGGGGCATGGAGCAAAAAAAGGTTAAGAACCACTGCTCTAGCTCATCAGATTTTCGTTTATTAAAACTGGAGAAAACAAGCGTTCGTCTGTCAATTTGCTGTAAGGAAGGTCAGACAATATAATCTTTCTTAGCAGTAACAATTGGTATTGTTATCAGTTGTAGTTGATATAACGCTATCACAAGAATTGTGGTCAATTCGATTAACGTTAACAATATTTAGCTGCTTCGTCTTCACAGTTACAAAACAATACCTTCAGTAACATATTGTTTTGATAAAGTCTATTTAACAAAACCATACGGTAACGCTAACAACTGATGAATTTATTGTATTGAATTTAACACAAATCGAGATGAATGATAATTAAAATTGTGTTAAAATATTGTACACTTTAATATTAACATATAAAGATCAAGTCAGAAACAAAAAATATTATTAAAAAATACAAAAAAACACATGTTTCCACAGTCTTTTATCACTCTGTCAGGTCTGAAAAAATATATTTGACTTTATTAATAACTGTACAACAATATCATGCACAACTTGTAACAATTATCTTTAGTAAACAATATATGGCTGTAGGTCAACAATAACTTATTCCTCATTGTAGTTCTGTTACGCGTAGCGGTGCTTCGAAGTAAAAGAACTGACCTTGATGATATACAAACACGACGTCGAGTAAATGGGACAGAAAAATTGGTTAATCCGTCCATTAATATAATTAAAATGTCTTGAAATGACATTAGCGGCTCTGTGGTACCTGATGTAACGATGCTTTGTATTCTGCAAGCGAGATGTCGTTACCATTAACAGATGTGGAATATTTTGCTACAAAAAAGTTCCCTTGTTGGCGTTTCTTGAAGCCCCTCAGCGGCTAGAACAGCAAGCTTCTGTTCCGGTAAAAACTGGGCAGGTTAGGACCCGATTGGTTGTAAATCATATGAACAAGAACTTTTGGATATATTTGGACTTATTCTTGGAATAACAGAATTGGGCAATCTCGGTTGTTTTAGAGTGATTGTCATATTGGATTATGTAGGACGAAACAATAAAGCTTATTTTGAATCTGATAAAGTTTTTATTTCTTTAAAAAAAAGGTTCCACGGTATATTTCACTAATAGCAGTCAACGACATCACGAAGTCATTTGATCTGCTCCAACGTTTAGGGATGACAGACCACCATTTTGAAGTGTTGTAAATTTACATTAAAGCCGCAAAAGAGGAACTATAATAATATTGACGGACGAGAGTTGACTGACGGGCTTTCAAATCTGGCCCACACATCATCAGAAACATGTTCAATACACACAAGAAAGTCAGTCAGTGAAGCAGCCACTGAAATCAGGAGATACAAAATGCTGCGAACGACGATTGTTTAATCAATACCAATAAAACACACCGCAACTTCTCCAGGTTGTGTGTTATTGGTTGATCTGATTGTTGCAAAAATGGTAACACACCGCAACTTAACAGGTTGTGTATTATTGGTTGATCCG